GGGCAAGTATGCCTGGGAATTATTTTTAATAGAGACGGGGTTTCACCATGTTGGCCAGGCTGGTCTTGAACTCCTGACCTCAGGTGATCTGACCACCTTGACCTCCCAAAGCACTGGGATTACAGGCATGAGCTTGGACTCCAATTCTAAAAGCACAGCATAGGACCGTGGTTTCCAACTATCAAAACCCTAGTGCTTATCTACAAAAGGCAGCACTGGGAGAGAAATCTCTTTACTGCATTTCAAGAACGCTCATAGAAACTTGAATTTCTACCTGACAAAAAGGCTTCAGTCAAGCTACCACACCAGCTATGTGATTAAATGTTTGCTAACTGTGCCAGACCTCAGACGAACCAGACAACACCAGTCTGCTTCTGTCCTTTGTCCTTTTTTCTTCTGGGCTTTTTAAACACACTAGAATCTGCTAGCACATGACCTAAACTGATATATATCAAGCAGAAAGGAATCAAACTATCAGTTATACGGTCTTTGATTATTCATCTTTTTAAGATAGAGAAATACATTCTCATTTATATTGAAGTTTGGCTGACAAACCCTTTCAAAACACGAAGTACATATTTAAAAAAAAAAAAAAAAAGAATGCCTAAGCCAGGACAGGGCTGAGAACCGCTGGGGGATTTACCCCACACTACCATCAAGGAAGGTCCCCTACTCCCTTTCAAAACAGACCAGGGAACCATCAGAGCAATTCTCATTTCCTGAACCTCTGTAACGTCCTCAATTCTTGATATTTTACAGCAAAAATCCTTAAGCCTCTAAGCAGGGCCACGTGCTTGTACGAGTGCTTGTACATTGTGCAGGGCAGTGAGAGAGGGATGCAGCTACTTCCCTCTCCATAGTTGTGAGTGGAAGTTGCATGGCCAGTTGGAAAAGCATCCCAGGGAGAAAGGGAGTGCTTGACTGGCCTGGGGCCTACCGAGCACAACGCCACGGACCCCCTGACTACTACAGGGGAGACCAGCATTAGACAAGGTCCCACCGTCGTCGCCACCCTTCAACGCCCCTCCTCGCCATGAGCCCTTTTTCAAACTCCTTCATTGTGGTCATCAGACACCTGGGTGCTCTGTACCTCTCTTCTGAGCTCAGCTTAGGCAGGCATCCATGCACCCTGCCTAAGCTGAGTTGAGGTCATTTCCTCGATTTACAGATGAGGAAATTGAAGCTTAACATAACACACAGAAGTTCACACGGAGAGGAAGGGGCAGAGCCAGGATCTGCGCCCGAACCATCTGGCCCTAGAGCTGGGCTCTCCTGCCACCCTTGCTGCGGGCTGCCTCTGCCTGCCCTCTCTGCACACCTTTCCTTTCGGAGCTCCAGCTGGGGCTTGGGTGAGTGCCACTTAGTCTGCACTTAGCTGTTTTCTCATCCCTTCCTGGGAATGAGTTTAATGTCCTCAACAACGAGTGCTCAGAGGTCAGGGGCTAGGTCCTTAATGCATGTCTCAGGGCCTGGAAGTTCAAAGCTCACAGCAGGCACTTGGAAAACATACACGTATAGCGTGTATCTGCTGCCCCCTCCCCAATTTCCTCTACCCTGTGGAGTGCCATCTTGCGAGTATAAACCTTTGAACCCAGAAACCCACCAGAGTCAGCCAGAGCAGGGCATCATCAAAAGGGAAGCAAAGACAGCATCAAAAGGAATGAACAGAGGGTCTAGTTCTCTACTCCCGACCCTTCTCTCCACTTCTCTCCACAGTCTCCCTCCTCAACAACCCACCTAAACCAACCAAACTGAACACCACCACCTCCTCTATCATGCGCATGGTCATTAATGCTCCTCCTATGGGGCTTAGAAAAGGGTGGTAAATCTAGATTCTGTGCCCCGAACCCAGGCACGGTGTTGGACACAGCAGCTGTGCTGCCACTTCCAAGTGTATTTCTAGGAAAAGGCAACACAAGAGACTGTTTTACATGGAGGAGAGCTTGGAAAGCCCAGGAAGCATGGCTGCTGTAAATACAGGTCAGGGTCATCACGTGTAAATATAGCCAGGTTTCGTCACGTGGCTGTCCTCTACGCTCAGTAATCACTCAGAGACCAGAGTTCCTCAGCACTGGCAACTACTCAAGAAAATCAATGCTGAGTGGGCATCTACTGGGGGTGAGGCACGCCTGGGCAAGTATGCCTGGGAATACCCCCGATAGAGGATGACGACAGACAGAGTCACCCTAGATAGGTAGCTCTCAAATATCTATGCACAGCTTGTCCACCTTGCAGATGTTTGGTGTCCTCCGTCTAGTGCCTGTCTCAGATATAGACGGGTTAGAGTTCTCACATAGCCCTTGCTGCTGTGTTGTAAGCAAAATCATTTCCATATTAACTCTGACCAAAATTCAGGAAATTAAACCAGTAGTATAAAAATAGCCATAGGATGAATTCCATGGCTAAGCAGAAATGGTTTGTGGAACAAGCACTTTGTACGTCTGAATCCTGCCTATAATCCTCGTTGAGGGTCAAGTGCAGATTTCTTCCAGTTGCGGTACTATTATTTCTACTTGGAGTTGAAAAGACTCCTCTAAGTCTTCTGGTGCAACAGTTTTTTTAGTTTTATTTTAGCGAGAGAGCCTTTACTTCAAAGGAGATCCTATCTGGAAGGTGACATGTAACTTAGATGGACCCCGAGCTGCTGGTGTGAGGGAACTGGGGCCCTGCCAATGGAGCCTGCTCTTCCCTTCCAAAGCTCCCAGGAGTACAAGTTGAAAAACACACATGCACAGCCCCTTCCTAATTGATTCACTCACTCGTTCACAAACAATAATATCTCTTGAGCACCTACTGTGCTCCAGGTGGAGCCAGCAGGTAACAGCACAAAGGCAGCCCCGCTTTTGGTGAGCTCACATTGGAGTAGGATGTGGCAAAGCTAAGTTCAGACAGGTCGCAAGTGCTAGGAAGGAACAACGATGTGATCGTGGCTGGGAGGTGGCTGCTTTGGATGGGGGATCAGAAAGGCCTCTCTGAGGAAGCAAAACACAGTTGAAATCAGAATGATAATCTGGAAAGATGCCCTGATTTGGACCAAAGAGGAAGCAGAACCAGAGAGGTGATGTGACCTTCCCCAGGCAGGGAGCTCAGCCAGGACCTGACCTGGGTTGCCGGCATCTCCCACCCAAGGATCTTTCCTTTTACAAACACTACTAAACAGCAACCACATGCAAAAAAGTCTCAGTGACAGGTGACATCCGAGGCTGGACAAACCACCCAACTACATCCTGGAATTTGGTGCCGTCTGTGCATGACTTTTGATGCCTCCCTCCTTCTTCAGCCCAGTCCAGGGTTGGCCTTGGGTCTGAAGACGCTGTAACCCAAGAGACAGAACTCGGTGGTGGACACTCCAGACCTGTGACCTTAGCTGGGAAAGCTTCTTCATCTCCTACCTCCCTGGCTGCAAACTGTGAAGGGTGCTCCTTACCGCTTCATTTGGTGGCATAAAGAGAAAAGCAAGTTGGTGGTTATAAACGTCCCGGGCTCATCTGAAAGACGGCTCTCTGGAAAGTGAAGGTGCTCTAGGGAGACCTAAAGACATCCAAGCCAGTTTGCCTCTTGTTCTGCAGCAGGCACTCACACAAGAACTACGGGGAATCACACACGCCTGTACATATTTTACACACGAGTCCAAACGTGGGTGTAAAATTCCTATTATGCTGAATATCGTGGGAAGGAGCACACAAATGCCTCCCTCTGGTACCCACAAACCAAACGGCTCTGGACCACCTAAGCACTTGCCAGACCACCAACTTGGCCCCTGTGGGCCAGCAGTGCCCCCTCACCCTAGGGGTCTTAAAGCATTTCCAGGCATTAATTGGAGCCTCCAGTCCCTTGGGAGACAGGTGGGGCCAGCGGTTATTAGTCCCATTTTGCGCACAAAGCAGCTGAGCCCCAGATGACCTATCTGTCCAGGGAACAATGCTACTGACACAGTGACAACCATTAAGTTCTGATTCAAACCTGTCTCCAGCCTCTAACTGCTGCTTTCCACTACAATCCAGCTGCCCACAAATCGAACACAGATCATCCACTTTTGCCTAACACCACCCTCATTCTCTTCTTCACGCTCTCCTGCACACACCCTATCTCCACAGTGCACTTAGGAGTTTTTCCATAAGCTGCCTCTTCTCTTCACCCCCCACCCCCACCCTCACCTCACAATACTTGCTAGGAACTGGAAACTTCTGGAACACTTATTCCTTCTGCACACACAGCAGCTTAGACTCAAGTTAAGATGCTGTCCCACCAACCCCAACTGAGCTGCCTCCCTTTCATACTTTCCAGCCCGTTCACACATGTGCACACTGCACATAACGCTGGTGAAAAGGATACACCCCAGAACCTTCCATGCCTTCTTTCCACATGGAGTCGCCCAACTGCACGTGCAAGGACGGGCACGAAAACACAAGTGACAGGGCCTACACAGCCATGTTGTCACAAATACACAGACGGGCCCAGAACACGGGGACATCCCTGCACAGGCCCTCTGAAAGCAATGTGTACCAGATACAGCAGCTGCCAGCACTTAGCAACTCCTGCGTTGCATGGGGTATGCTGCCAAGGCCTGTCTGCGTCTTGCTAAGGCGACTCTGGGTCTGTCATCTTGGTGTACGCACAAGAGGCAGCTACTCGAACTCAGGGTGGACAAAGAATGACATTTTCAAGAGGAACAGACATGCCCCGGGCACGCTGGACGGCACGAGGCCCTCAGAGGCCCAGAGTTCTCTCCCGCAGCCTCAGGCGCGTAGTTACGGACGCCGTGCTGCGTGTTCCGTGCAGACACCAATACCTGCTCACATGCCCCGCAAGTGTCCCAGGCATTCCTGCCTCCTCCACTCCTCATCGCCAGCCGGCTTCCCTCTGCCCGCCCGGGGGAAGCTTGGAACAGTCTAGCTCCGGACTGCGGGCGGGGCTGGCAGCGGAGGTGGAGGCGTCTCTCCCAGACCCCCAGCCTCTCCCTTGGCGCCCCCACTTCCCAGGCGCGCTTCTGCACTTACCCGGTCAGGGGCTCCGGACGCGGCGACGGGAGCTGCTCCTAGAGAGGCGGAGAGCGGTGGCTCCCGGGGCCGCCCAGCCGCCCACCACCCGCAGCCAACGCTCTTCCCTCCCAGCCCGGGAAGGTCAGCTTGCGGGCAGCACGGCCCGCGCCCCCGCGCCCACGGAGGCTTCCTGCCGGCTTTAGCGTCTCCCCCTCGCCGCCCCGCCCCGCGCTCCGCCGCGACGCCCCGGCGCCGGCTCTCCCAGCCCAGTCGGCAGGACGCGCCCAGGAGCCCCGCACGCTAGCTGCCGGCTCTTTGTTTGGGAGTTTGCCTCTCTGCGATTCAGAGCACGCGGAGGGAATTAAGTCAGAGTCCGAGGCAGCTGTGCGGTTGCCGGGGGGATTCCTGCGGGGGGCGGGGCAAAAGAATCGACTAGGGGGCGGTGGAGCGACTTTCAAACTCCCCGCCCTCCGCAGCTCCCCGGTTTTTTTCCCCTTGCCTTTTCGTTTTTTGGGTCCTTGGGGGGGTTTGGCTTTTGGGGTTTTCCGGGGCTTTTGGGGCCAGGTTTTTCGGTTAGGGGGAGGCTTTTCCTTCCCCTTTCTTCCCCTCCCCCCTTCCTTGCCTTTTCCTTTTCGGGTTCTTTTGGGGCTTCGGTTTTCCTTTTCTTGGGCCCGGGGAGAATCAAGGTCTCTCTAATCAGAAGCAAAAAGGAAGAGCAGAGAGTAGAGTCCATCTGCTCCTGCTGAGCCCTTGTGAAGGTGCAAAGCTGGCCCTAACGGGACCGGCCCTAACAGTGGGGCATGGATTATGTATTTCCCAAAGTAACCAGGGCCTTGTGCTTATCCAACCGTGTTCTTTTGAAACTTAGCTGCAGTGAGGAAGATTACCCATTTACCAGGCTGCTAGACCAGGGAAGCCACTGGAGGCAGGGAACGCTGACAAAGCCACTGCACCGGGAGCACCAGCGTTCTAAATACCCCAGCTGACTGCTGAGAAGGGCTTCGCAGAGGGGCCACCCGGGAAGGAGATGATTCCAGTAGTCCGGTGAGATGGAGACTTTAACTGGGGGATGAATGCGGAAGCTGCAGCAAAGGAGAGTCTACAGAGTGTGTGGTGCAGGAGGCGCACACTGGGGCTGTAACATTGTGGAAGTCTGGAGGAGCACCTGGAGTGATGTGACTGGGTTTAGTGTGGGGCAAGTTGTATTGGAGAAGCAGGCCACCTTCTTCCAGGGGCAGATATCCAGCAAATGCAATTGGAAAGGTGATTCTGGAGTTCACAGGAGAGGCTGTGAATTTTGGAATCATCTGGAAAGAAGTTGGAGGTGGCGGGAGAGGGTAGAAAAGGTAGAGAGAACAGGGCTGAAGACAGAACCTAGGTCTACCTAGAAGGAGCCCATGAGAGGAACGGAAACCATCAGGAGAAACCATGAGGGAGAGTCAGGACTGTGCAGGGTGACAGGACTCAGGAGAAGAGGGACGTTCAGTGGGGGCCCGGGCTGCAGGGACACCAAGGAGGAGGGCGCCCAAAAAAAAACTGGTTTAGATTTAGAAATTAGGAGATCTGTGGGTTAGTTCAAGATAACTATTTGAGTGGTGGGTTTTATAAACCAGGTTGCCACTCCTTGGGGGTGCATCTGTATCTCGGATCCAATTGGTTGATGGGGAGATACAAAGGTTCACCTCTTTGCTTCCGTTATGGAGGGCCCTGAAGGGCCACCCCAGCTCCATAACTTCCCAAAGGATCCGCCTAGGCCTCTGTGGAAAGCAGCACAGTTCAAGTTCATTCTCTGCCGAATCCTGTTTCCCTCACTCTCTCAAGGTGTTGTTCCCAAGAGTACCTCCCAGGAGACCTCCCACATACCACCTCCATCTCTGTGCAGAGTCTGTTTCCTAGAAATCCATTCGGAGGTACAGGGACACTGAGAAAGGGCGAGGGAAACAAAGAAAAGGTGGGACGGAGGTAAAATCCACCCCGCAAGAGCCTGCGGGAGTGCAGGTCAAGCAGCGACAGTGGGAGGGAGGCCTGAATGAGCACAGGCCCCGAAGCCTCTCCCCTTGGCCTCTAAGGGAGCGGTTTAAACAGACAGGGATGGTCAGAAAAACTCAGAGAAGGTGGTGTGAAGGAAAGAGCCTGGGGAATGGGGAGTGAAGAGGAAGCTTATTCGTAGTAGAAGATGGATTTTCAAAAGCCAGAAGTAAGAAAGAAGAGTGGAGTAGGCCCAAGGAGGGGAGGAATGCTGGAAGAGGGTAAGGGTGAGGGGAAGTCAGTATTCACCAAAGTTAATAACATTGAAACAGCAATGAGGAAAGAGAGGGTTGGAAAACGCCTAGAGTGACTTTTTTAGCAGTAGGAGAGGGTGAGTGATGAATGAAGCTCTGGGCTAGGGTATTCCCTCTCTAGTAGTATCCCCAGTAACATTAAATGTCTACAGTGGAGAACCGATGGAAATATAATATGTCGTTAAAAATTTTCCATGAGCCACATTTAAAATGAATATAAAGAAACAGGTGGAAGTAATTGTAATGATATATTTTATTTAACACAGTATATCTAAAATATCATTTCAACGTGTGTCAATATGAAAAATCAACGATAAGATATTTTACATTTTTTCCTACTAAGTCTTCCAACTGGTTATATTTTATGTGTATTGCACATCTACATTCAGACACTACATTTTCATTGGAAATATTCAATGTGTATTTAGATTTCATAACTTTTATGGTTGAGGAAATAGATTTACAAGCCTACGTTGCCACATACATAATTATGCTTTCCAACAATAGAATCAAATGATCAATTTTTAAATTTATGTTAATTAAAATTAAATGAAATAAAGAATCCAGCCCTTCAGTTGCATGTGGCACATCTCGAGTGCTCAGTAACTGCACGGGGCTAGTGGCTACCATATCAGAACACATAGGCCTAGAATTCTAATTCCTAGACTTTTGATTTTGGCTTGCTTTTGTCCTCACCTTTTTTGAAGGAATGGACCTCTTCTCCTACCAGCATTGCACCGCTAACAAGATCCTAACCTATTCCATCTTATTTCACAAAACATACTTGAAGAAGGCGAGGGGGAAGATTGAGAATCTACCATCTAGGAAAACAGAGATGGGAATGCAGCTTGGACTGGAAAAGGTATGAGGAAGATGAGACAGGAGTTGGAAATATTCCATTTTGATTCTTATTCTGTGGTTGTATGAGGAGGGAGGATTCTCTACCAGGTTGGGTACTCCAGAGATAGAATGGATGGTGCTGTGAGAATGAACAGGACAACTCCTGTTTGTACAGGCTCCCATTTTAGCAGCTTCCCATGAGCATGGAGCATTGATTGAGTCACAAACACTAGGATGTGGCTAAGTCTGGGTCCTGTATTTCTTGCATTAGCAAAATGGGGAGGGTAATCCCTTATTTGGAAAAAAAATGGAAGGGGCTAAGTGAAATCCCCCAAAGGAAAGCTTGGATCCCAGATCTGGAGACCTATGCCTCCACTATAGTTTGGATATGGTTTGTTTGTCCCCTCCAAGTCTCATGTTGAAATTTACTCCCCAGTGTTGGAGGTGGGGCCTGGTAGGAGGTGTTCGAGTCATGGGGGTGGATCCCTCATGAATGGCTTGGTGCCATTCTTGCAGGAGTGAGTTATTGCTGTTAGTTTCTGTGATAACTGGTTGTTGAAAAGAGCCTGGCACCTCCTCCACACTCTCTGCCACCTCTCCCAACTTGTGATCTGCATATGTGGCTCCCCTTCACCAACCCCCATGAGTGGAAGCTTCCTGAGGCCCTTGTCAGAAGCAGATGTTATCACCATGCTTCCTGTACAGCCTGTAGAACCATGAGCCAAATAAAGTCCTTTTCTTTATAAACTACCCAGCCTCAGATATTCCTTTATAGCAACACAAATTGACTAAGACGGCCCCATATTCAGGCCTGTAGCTTATCTTCTGTCCCCAGCGGGGTGCTGGCAGCTTCTGCTTTTAGGCCATGCTCTGACACCATTTCCCTGCCTTTGTATCTGATAGGGAGATCTGTCAATGGATGCAGCAGTAATGGAGTTTGTAGAGACTCCTTTAGAAATTTAGAAAAAAAAAACCCAGAAAAACCAACTTAGACTTCCTTGTTTGTGATCTGAAATGACCTACATCTGTTGTAACTGGGTGACATAGTGTAGCTCTTGTGAGACCCTGCTCCATGCCAGCACAGGGCCTGATAGCCTCTCTACCCAACAACAGTATCTATATCCATTCCTAGAAATGGAGTCATAGAAAATACCATCTTTTGTTTTGTGGGTGGCTACACACACACGCACACACACACACACACGACAGTGAGGAGAATGTTCTGTTATTGTTGGCATCCCTAGAATATATGGCACGTTAACCTGGCATTCAGGTTGTACAGTAAACCCTCATAGGTCAGGAACTGTAAAACTTGCTTTTCTCCGTCCTCTGAGCATACGCTTGTCTTTCAAAAGAAGTTCTAGTCACTACCTAGGAGGGTTGCAAGGAAATGAAGCTACTTCTGCCTCCCTGACATCCATGCTTGGTTAAGCTGCTGTCCTGATATGGCCCTAATGTGTACTCTTTGTATAAACTCCTGACTGGGCCATTCTGAGGAAGATCAGCTAGGTTCTTGGAGATATTAATAGAAAACATTCCCTTCAGGATACACATCAGAGACAGCTGGTCTGACTCAGCCTGCTTCTCTATCTTTAAAATGGGGAGAAACTCCTCCTAAGATTCTTTCTACTCTCTTAGAAAGTGAAAACTCGCCTTGGTTTTTTAATCCATGTGAAAAATAGAGCTAAAAAGCCTTTTGTTAGCATCTGTCTTTCTTCTAGAAGGACTGAGGAATGACCAGATGTTAAATATTGATCAGTTAGGCTTAGCTTTAATTCCGCCTGCATTTGGCTGTGAACTTGATGACTGACCCTGACGATTTTCGCAATAATATCTGGTGCTTAATAGGTAAAGAAATGACTGCGGAATTGAACCTCACAGCCTCAGGTATAATTCCCATGAGAAAGATGTTACAAGTAGGAATTTTTCAACTGTTTTCAGGCATACTTCCAATCACACCAAGAACATTAGTTGCACTAATTAGTGCTTGAAATATTGATCTTCATTAGCAGTGTCAAAAGCGTTGTTCAAGTATCCGTGCTCTCTTGGCATTCTACATGAAGGAGCTTACAGCTTGGTTCTTTCCCGGGAGAACATTAGTGAGGGCAAAACAGAAAAACGTATGTAGTATACAGGAAACATAAGTAGAGACAGCCGAGCAAATATAGAAGTAACATACAAAATGACAATTACTTACAGCTGGATTTTTTTTTTCTACATGTAGCACACTGCTAATCCTCTCTCATCTTCTCCAGGAAGCTTTCTAAAGCCTGCTTCTGTAAGGACACAGGTTCTCTGGACCCAGAGTCACATACTGGGAAGGAAGAGAAGCCTTTGGGTAAACATCATGAATTTCCCTGGAGCAACTACTCTATTTAAGATTTTATCTAACATTTTTTGGAAAGAAGGGAATAGGTTTAAAAAAATAATTTCAAAAGTGTAACATCTATCTATGCTCATTTTAGACAATTTGATCAGTATAAAATATTAAATAAGAAAGTAAAAACCACTTGGACTCTTACCTGTCAGAAATAACCACTATATAACTGGATTTTGGTGAATATCTTTTAATTGTGTGTGTTTGTGAATATGTGTTTGTAATCCAAATTTTTTAAAATTTGAGACTATATTCTAGTCAGCTTTTTATGTCAATGGATTTAAGAATATGTTACATCATTTTAAATGTAATGTATGGATATACCACACTTTATTTAACCAATACCCTATTAATGAATATTTAGTATGTTTTCTTTTCTTTCTTTTTTTTTTTTGAGACGAAGTCTCACTCTGTTGCCCAGGCTGGAGTACAGTGGCTTGATCTCAGCTCGCTGCAACATCCACCTCCCGAGTTCACGTTGATTCTCCTGCTCAGCCTCCCAAGTAGCTGGGATTACAGACATGCACCACCATGCCCAGCTAATTTTTGTATTTTTAGTAGAGACGGGGTTTCACCATGTTGGCCAGGCTGGGCTTGAACTCCTGACCTCAGGTAGTGCACCCACCTCGGCCTCCCAAAGTGCTGGGATTACAGGCATGAGCCACACTCCTGGCCAGGATGTTTTCAATTAAAAAAATTTTTTTTGATGATGTTGTTATGAAACATTCTTTCATATGTGTACTTGCCTACTTATACAATTATTCTTTATGGCAAATTCTTAAAAAATGTATCACAGAAAGTATTTCTTTTGGTAGCTGAACACACACACACACTGGTATAGATATATTCACACATACACATACACATGCATACATACATATGTGTGTGTATATATAGGCATATTCATACATACACACATGTATACATACATGTGTATGTATGTGTATATATACACATAAAAAGTAAAAAATGTTTTAAACTTAAATATAGTTGTTACTTCTTGAGAAGAGACTGGGATTGGGGATGCAGTCAGAGGAATTTGACCAAACCTATGATGTCTTAGTTTTTTCACGGGGAGAAAATATATGTATAACTTAAAATTAGTTAAAATTAAGGGTAACGATAACCAAAAATGGATAAGATAAAGTAGTCATCAAGTGGCAATCACACATCATTGCAAATAAAACGATCTGCTTCCTTCTGCTAAAAAAACTTAACGGTAACTACTGGAAGAATAGAAATAGGATGTGTAAATGTTAAACTGCTAACATTAAAAAAAAAGGAACCAGAACACCTAAAACCTTGATTAATCCAACAAAAGTAAGAAATGAAAAAATTAAAAGAAACAACAAGAAAGCACAGTAACTAAAAAGTACAAGCATATGGACAAATAAGTCCAAATATGCCACTATTTAGAATTAATATGATTAGGTTAATGTGTCTATTAAAAGATGGCAACTCTCTGGATAACAAAACCAAATGCAGTTATATGTTGCTTAAAAGGGACCCACATGAAAAAACGACACAGAAAGTTTCAAAATAAAGGAGTGGAAAAGATATATTAACTAAGGAAATGATGGCACCAAGAAGTAGATGTGCCAATATTAATGTAAGATAAAATGAATCCAAAGCCCAAAGAATGAATGGTCAAAGAAGACTATTTTTTTTGTTGTTGTTTATTTATTTAGAGATGGAGTCTTGCTCTGTCACCCAGGCTGGAGTACAGTGGCATGATCTTGGCTCGCTGCAACCTCCATCTCCCAGGTTCAAGCAATTTTCCTGCCTCAGCCTCCCGAGTAGCTGGGATTATAGATGCATGCCACCATGCCTGGCTAATTTTTTTTTTTTTTTTTTTTTGAGATGGAGTCTCGCTCTGTTGCCTAGGCTGGAATGTAGTGGCGTGATCTCGGTTCACTGCAAGCCTTACCTCCCGGATTCATGCCATTCTCTTGCCTCAGCCTCCCGAGTAGCTGGGACTATAGGCGCACGCCACCATGCCCGGCTAATTTTTTGTATTTTTAGTAGAGATGGAGTTTCACCATGTTAGCCAGGCTGGCCTCAAACTCCTGACCTCAAGTGATCTGCTCGCCTTGGCCTCCCAAATGCTGGGACTACAGGCCTGAGTCACCATGCCTGGCCAAAAAAGACTTTTTTGATTTTGTTCATGTCCACCAATGAACCTTTGTGCATAGCTCCAAAATGTGTAAAGCAAAAATGATAGGACAAGTAGACAAAAAGTAACCAAGGATTGAGAGGTCATTTTCCAATACAGTAGCCACTAGCCACACAATATAGCCAATCGTCACCAGGTTATTTAATACTTCAAATATGGCTAATCCACGTTGAAATGTGCTATAAAGTATAAAACGTATATTGGATTTCAAAGACTTGGTATGAAAAAATAAAGTAAAATAGGTCTAATATTTTAAAGTAAAATAGCTCTGTATATTTTGAAAAGATCATACTTTAGATATGAGTTAAATAAAACCTATTAAAATTATGATAACTTATGAACACAAAGAAGAACACAAAGAAGGGAACAACAGACACTGGGGTCTTCTTGAGGGTGGAGGTTGGGAGGAGGGAGAAGAGCAGAAAAGATGAATATTGGGTACTGATCTTAATTCCTGGATGATGAAATGATCTGTACAACAAACCCCTATGACATGAGTTTACATATGTAACACACCTTCACATGTACCCTCAAACCTACAATAAAAGTTAAAAAAGATTGCAACCTAAAATAAATGGATAAATAAAATCTACCAAAATTAATCTCATCAGTTTATTTTTGCTTATTTTAAAGTGGTGACTAGAAAATTTAAAATATCATATGTGTTTCTCATTGTATTTTTATTGAACAGCACTGAAGAGGATTTAAATGAACACAAATAACAAATATGGTATAATAATTGTAGAAAAGAAACATTTTGACATCACATTTTATGTTCTTTTCAGTCACGCAATATTTATAAATTGATCAATCACCTGACCATAAGAAGATCTCAAAAATATGTGAAAACTAGCTATGGGCAGAGGCTGTAATATCCAAAGACAATGCTTTTCCCAACTCAAATGGAAATCACTATTGCCAATACCAATTTCTGTTGCCTTTCCCAGCGATTATGGGGAGGTGTCTGTGCAGGTGGGGTCTGCAGATAGCATGACCCACATGGCAGGGATTCTCTATCTCTCTCAGGAGTCCATGGCACCAGAGGTCCTACTCTGCCTGTTGGCCCCAGCTCACAAGATTTATTGAGTCAGAATTCCCCTTTCAGAGCACAGTGACAACAGCTTGAGCCTAGGAGGAAACACCCTGTTTACAAATTGCTCCATGTTAATGGAGGCCTGGAAGGGGACAGGCCTGACTGGCTCCGCTGTTCTGAAGTATTCAACTGATGTTACTGAGATCCCAGGCTCTCTTCCCTACATTGATCTCATTGCTCTTAACTTGGGGTGCTCTGGAACTATTCTTGCCTTGTGTAATTCCTCCTACTCGTTTTGGCTTGGTGTTTGTTTTTTTTTTTTCCTTTCTTTCTTTCTCTCTCTCTCTCTCTTTTTAAAATCAATTCAGTCCTATCTTTATAAAAAATCATACTTCAATATTTCTAGTCTGCAGGTAGCATCCTTCATTGATTTCCAGCCACATTATAAATCTATTTTTTTCAAAATATAATTTCTGTTATTTCATAGTACTTTGTGTAGGTGAAGATGTAGAAGTGGGTATGCACTCTGACCTCCTGATCCATTATGAGATACAAGTTTTTGTATATTTATCTCATAACCAGTCACCTTACTAAAAACACTTTTCATATTAAAATAAACACTATGTATCATTATAAAGAATTCATGCAAAATATTTTTCAGTGACATAACTCAAATAAATTATATGGTTGTGGAGGGTTGCTATACTGCACAGTCCTTCTTGTTACTAGGGATACTTTGAGGACAAAATTTTGGAAGCTCAATTAAAATAAAGGATTTTGACTGCCTTTAAGTAGCATCTCAATCTCTCTTTCTCTTTCTTTCTCCCTCTTCCTCTCTTTCTCTCTATCTCCCCACCACCCAACCCTTTCTTTCTTCCTTTTTCCTAGTTGCCCTCAACTACAGACAAAAACTACTTTATGGGCATGCAATCTGTGCAGTTACACAAGGCCCCACACTTAGATGGGCCTAGCACTTCATTAAATGCTCTGATGTTGCTGTCTTGAAATTCTTAATAATTTTTGAAAAAGAGACTCCACATTTTCATTTTGTACTAGTCCTTGGTATTTCTGCAAAACACCTATCTAGTGTTATACATTTTCTACCCAAGTTAAAAGATTAAAGCTTGTGGCATTTTGCTGAGCCCAAAGCAAAAATACATCACGTGTATCTTGGAAAAATTCTTACCTTTACTTCAGGATTGGTGGCGATGGTGGGAGGTTTGAATTTGGGGGAAGGATTGGGACCACAGTCACATCCGTTAGGACTCTTTTGTGAGCTGACTTCACCTTCACCTCTCGATGCTCTTTTTCATGCTTTCCTTTCCAGTCCATATCACAGCTTGCAGTTCAGTACACACAATTAGTCTTTTCTTTCACACGTTTGCCCAAGTGGTTTCCATTGCTTCCAGTGCCCTTTCCCCCCATCTGCTTACTGAATTCCTATTTAATCTTCAAATTTTGCTTAGTTATCACCTCCTTTAGGAAGTCTTCCCTGGCCGCTCTAGGTAGAATTCAGTGACTTGTTTTTATCTCCAATATCTAAGAAGAACTTAATCAAGGAATAGAATTTTTTTTATATACTTCCTTTCCACTAGAACCACTACAGTGATGGTTCCCAACTTTTGTTGTGTGTGTGTGTGCACACATCACAGCATTAAAATACTAAAACACACTAAACAAGTCAGGAATAATTACAATACAATTACTACTGCAGTATAAATGATTTTCAAAGCAACTATAAAAGCATCCAACTATTATCACACTATCATTTGGTCTCCCTTTAATACTGGTTTTCTGTTCTGTTACAGTTTTTTATGTTCCAGTAAACACCAAGTTGGCCAGATTTTACATTTCTCACCTCACATCACAGCCAGCTTACCCCACGCTCCACTGTGATATGACTTGTTTGGGCCTGTGCTCCATTTGACAGGCATTGCTAACATGTATATTCCATTAGGATGAAAATATACGTTAGATGTTAGTTGAAATTTGGCAGCCCACCATGACCGCCCCAGGATCAGTTGCACAGATTGTTGACTGCACCAGGGTGCTCAGTTGAGGGGAAAAATGGGGACCAATGGTCAGTTTAATGTGCTCACCTGGCTGTGTGCACCCTGGACTGCATCTGTCCCAAAGGCAGGCCTTTACAAATTTAAACAAAAGGTATCATTTGGACT